CGGCGGCACTTTTTAGGGTGCCGCCCGGTCTATTGTTGGCAGATGATGGGAGTCGAACGGATCTGATGCCCTTCTCTCTGATGTTCTTTTTTGGGGTCCCGTGGGACCATTGGCCCCGGGCAAGAAGGGTTCATCCGGTCCCGAAAAAGGAGCATCACTACCGCTTTGATGTTCCGATCCTGAGGGTATTGGGTATTTAAAAAATAATAACCGATGCACTAAAAGTAGTAAACTTAGGCCTAAGTCTAGACCTAAGCCTAAGCCGAAGCCTTAAGTCTAAGCCTAAGCCTAAGCTGAAGCCCAACTCTAAGCCTAACGCCCTAGCCTAAGCTTACGAAGTCTCAGGTAAGCAAGAAGAGAACATTCAGAAGCCCCCGGAAAAATTGGTGCCAAATGGTGGGTCGTAAAAAGCGGGAAAAGCCGGTGGCAGGGGGCTCTAAGAAGTGTGCAGCGGTGAAGATGCTTTGTTTGTCGTCCTTTCCACCCCCGACAGCATCACCATGGCAGAATTCGCGGTGGGACCTCTGGGCGGGGGATAGGGGATAGGCAATGACAAGCAGAAGCTAATGAGAAAAACGAGAAGCAAACGCAAAAATAAGCCAAAAAAACCCAAAGCGAAAAAATGGGAAAAATTATTCGATTTCGGAAAATTGAAAGATTTGGACATTTCAGTTTCCAAGATTTTCGAACCTGTAAAAATTGAAATTTCATGATTTCAAAATGTCTATTTCCCCTCGATCGCCAAACTCCCGTAAAGTTGTAAAGCAAAGTGGCGAGGGGGCGGAAAAGTGGATCTTTTAAAGGGGAAGAGAGGATCCGCTTACGGGAGCCAAGGTAAAGCCCGGTGGGACCCGGGGGGAGATGGCGGTCCAGCAGTCCTTTGGGTCTCTTAAAAAAGTACTTTCTTTTCGGGAAGGAGATTAGGGAAATGGAGCTCGGATCGTTTCTAGCAAAAGCCCTTTGCAGCTTACAGCAAGCTAAGTAAGCTAAGCTCAACTTCTAAAAGGCTTTCCAGTCAAAAAAGTGAAGAAGCTTAATGTAACGAGTTGGCTTTTAGCTATAAAAATTTAGGTTTTAGACTATAGCAATCTTGCGTCAACCGAAAGCTCTTACTCTCCGAAATGGAGTAGACAAAAAGCGGCGAGTGAAGCCGATCCGGTGGAAGAGCCGCCCCACTTCTTACTCGGTGGCCCCCTCCGCGCCGTGAATTCAATTCGGGACCCGTGGGTCGAGTAGGGATGGACTCTACTGGGTATCTCTGGATATCTCTCGATATCGCAGGGTTGTAGTATGCCCCGTTTCTCTTTAGTCTCAATGATTGGTCAGAATCCGAGACATCGTTCATAAAATAAAAATAAATTTCAAGGCTTCGTGGTGTCGAGGCAGAATCAGCTAGCAGAAATTCTTGGGGAGGGCTAGCCGAGTCTTCTGGGGGGAAATAGCTGACATCATAGCAGAGATTCTTAGGAAACCCTGACAAAAAGTTTCTTTTCTGACCCGGGGCGGGCTAGCGGAGATCCTCGGGGGAAGCGCGAAATTTAAAGGGCTGCAGGAAGATGGGCCGGCGTCCATCGGGGTGACGGACCGCCGCGGCGCTACCATCGACGCTTTCCCTCGCGTAAGCGCCCCCAAAACCCCCACTCGCGATTGAAGAAACCAGTTTATTGGCTATAAGTTTTTCATTTAGCAATGTTTTCTACTAAAAATTTCCATAAACGAAGGGCTGAGTGATACCCATCGATGGTAAAAATTTGAGCCGGATTGGATAGAAGGCGGCCGAGTTCTGGGCTAGAAAGAGTTTTAGGACGCTGTTTCGGCTGAAAAAAAAGTCGCATCGACAGCAAAAAAGCCCTGGAAAGGTGGAAAGTACCTTGCTATCCTTTAGCTAGATCTTCTATAACGTTTTTGGGTATTATTTCTTCGAAATAGCTTTATTTCTAATTGTAGTTCGAAAGCGGGCCAAGCTCGCCCCGAAGGCATTTGGGGAGCCTCCACCGCCCCTCCCCACTCGGCTGGCTAGCGCATCAGACTGCGGAGCGGGCCAACCCAGGTTCGACCCCCGTCCGGTGCAGCCTTCTTTGCTTTTTCACCCATGCGATCTTTCTGCAGCCCTTTAACCAGGTCTGAGCAGGTCAGCATAGACCGGCTTGAGACACATGCGCAAAACCATGATAATGGGGTGGCCAGCAGCGATCTTTGAGGTGAGGCAAGCTGGCAGAGATCCCTTTGGATTCTGATCCGGCTTTCAAACATTTCTGAAAAAACGGCTAAATCCTCATTTTCATAAGCCCTAAATCTTATTTTTTTCGCTTCGGATTTCATCCCCATCCGGAAATTGCGCATCACAAGATCGGCTGGCAGCGCGCGATCCGGTTACGCAATGCAATAAATAGCGCGTGGACGGCCTGAAGGGATGGGAACGTCAATAGGACAAGTGCAGGGGTGGGTGCAGGGGACTGCCGGGGGCAATCTAGCGGTGATCGCCTGGGAATGGGGAATTAGGGCGATTATTAGGAAAGGCTTGTCGTGGGTTTAAAGGGACTGTGAAGCGAAAACCTACTGCCGTGAAATAGATGAAAATATAAAAAATATAAGTTAGGTTGTACGATCTAAAAAAAATCGGATGTGGATTCTAGCAATTTTTCTGACTTTCCTCGTCCCTTTAAAATTTGTGTCAGACACAATTGGATTTTTCTAGATTAAATAGACATCTACCCGATTCCCCGAAACCACCGCTTGGTCTCTATGGCCTCGGGCCCACCCAAATTGGCCCTTTGTTTTGGGCCCCCATGGACCCAGGACCCCCGAAAACGCGATTAGCCCCATCCGTGGATAATCAAGGGCCAATCCGCTCGCTTCGGACGGAACGATGGGACAACCAGGAACACTAACAAATCTGGAAATCCGCGAATTTGGAGATTGCCTGGGAGGTCATATGGGAGGTCGCGGAAAATGGACGAAACCGTGCAGCCAAGTTTACGCAAATTTTGGCAACTGACAAAAAATTTAAAAACGCTTCAGGCAGCCCAAAAATTAAATAAAGGCTGAAAATGCGGCCGAAAAAGATTTGACAGACACAGACAGACACAACAGTCGTAATTTTCAGTAATTTGTCAGAATTTTAAAACAGCGTAAGGTATTACTCATCTAGTTCTACAAAGTGCATGTAACATACAACCTTTCAAGCTATTTCCAAGACGTGAGATCTTCTGAAAACCTCATCCAAAATTTTGCCAGTTGAAGCTGATGATCGTTTCCCCCGATTCTACTCCGATTCTGTTTCCCACATCATTCACCCCTTATTCTGATGCCTATCTCCTAGTCGGCCATCCCTTTTGGATATAGCAACAGCTTGCCAGGGCCGTTTGAGAAGAGCAACAGGAGGCCATTTGAGGAATTTACATCTCCCTCGAGCAACCGCCAGCTAGCTAGCCCGGCTATACCCCCATCATCGCCCACAATGACAAATCGAGCTCCAGGGAATTTCCGAGGGTGCTTTGGAGGTGTGGATAAAGGGAATGGAGGCGAGAAACTTTAGAGAAATAAGCAGACATGGCAATCGGCCGGGCCGCGCGGCTTTTTCGGCCGCAAAAATTAGAATGCGGCCGGGCCGCACTTCCGGTGCGGCCGCGGCTTTTTTCCGTTTTGAGGCCGCACGGCGGCCAAGCCGCGCGGCTTTTAAGGCCGCATCCATTCCGGTACGCAAATCCGAGATTTAATGGGTATTTAGCTTGCTAACGAGGAGGATTTATTTTCGACAGCCTTAATTTTCTGATTTCCATTTCCATTTCGCATGAAATTCGCGGATTTTTGGTATGTAGAAGAGCTACTTCCGGTTTGCGGCTTGGCCGCGGCGGCCCGGCCGAGCCGCGATGAAAATGCGGCTCGGCCGCGAAGCCGCTTCGGAAGTAACCAATTACGGCGGCTCGTAGGGGGCCGCGTTTTTTATGGAAATTAGGCCGCCGGCCGGGCCGCGCGGCTCGGCCGATCGGAATTGCCATGTCTGGAAATAAGTGAAGGGGTTATGAAAACAATAAAAACAGTTATTTAGGCCGAGTTCAAGGCAAAAATATTTAAGCGAAACCTAACTTTAAACCTTTTAGCTGCTTGATTTACGTCAATTGGCTTTTGTTATGTTTCTTGTCCCTAATCCTTTACATTTGGATTTTCGGGTTATCGCGGTGCTACCAATCGCTCTTCCATATCCACCCTAGCCACCCCGATGACCCATATTCACCACTCTCACCAGCCGGGTGTTATCAGCACCACCATACCATCTCTAGCGCACCATTACGATTAGCATATACCAAATGTCGTGTTGTCTAATGTTTCAAGTGCTTAATTTAGTAATTTATACGGCTTCATATAGCGTAGCCTTCAAATTCCGCTCTTAAGGTTAGAATCGACAAGCTACTACTTTTTCCGCGCATTTTGCACTTCCTAGTGTTTAAATTTAGCGTTAAGTTAATTTTCAGCAATGCTGTCTCCACGGGCGGCCACTGTGGCCGCTACCGTAGCCTCATCAATTTGCCTAGCTACCGTATGCCTAGTTTTGCCATACTCATGGATGAACATGCAGCGAGCAAACACTATGCTTTTGCAACATGCGCATCAATGCAAGGTTTGTATAGAGAGAAAGAGAGAGAGAAGAGAGAGAGAGAGAGAGAGAGATTGCGTATGTTTAGGTTGACGCCGCCGAGCTCTGGCATCAAGTTGGAAAGGGTCAGGTCCGCGTGAAACGACAGCGATATGCGAATGAGGCCTCGGTACCGCGCGGGGATTCTGGAAAATGTAGGCAATTTCAGTTTAAGGCTGTATCTAGCTTTCCAAGTACCTTTAAAATAATTTTCTAGGTTGCTCCTGCCAACAAGGTCCTCCCGGCCCGCCCGGCTCGATGGGACAACCAGGAATCGATGGTCAGTAGATCAATCGGGACTGAAGCACTCAAGAGCTGGATGTTAGTCAGGTTCCGAAACGTTACTTTTCTAGGTGAACCCGGTATGATTGGCTCGAATGGTCGAAATGGACGCTCCGGAAAATACGTACTACCACCGAAGAATGACGATCTATCGTGCCAGAAGGTAAATTCCTGCAAAATCTCTGCTAGTCTGCCTTGTACCCACCATTGGCTTCCAGACTTTGACAATTTAAATTCTTCTTCAAACTAGTGCCCAACAGCCCTCCAAGGCCCACCAGGCCATCCCGGCGTCAAGGGCCCACGTGGAAACCCGGGGTACGGTAGAATATCCATATTTCAAGATCTAACCAAATTTAGCAACCATGGCACAGACGGGCGTCCTGGTGTCCCGGCACGAAAGGGCCCACCTGGACCCCCAGGAGTTCGCGGACCGCCTGGGGAGATTGGAATGCAGGTAAGACCCTGAGATTCGAATCATTTGGCTATATTGGAACTCCATTAAGTGTATAATTTTAGGGACCTCCCGGTGATCCTGGCCGCGTCCTAAACGGTGCCCCGCCCGGTCAACCCGGTCAGCTCGGACATATGGGACCTCGTGGAAAGCCTGGAGCTAATGGAAAGTAAGGATTTAAAGAGAGAGATAGTGAGATAGGGAGAGAGTGAGACCGGGAGAAAGGGAGGCCTTTGTTGTTATTGACATATAGACATAGATTTATGTGTAATAGACCCATCCTCAATTGTCAGTGATGGTCGCTCTGGTGGCGCAGGCCCGGCCGGACTCCGCGGTGACCCCGGACAGCGCGGTTCCGATGGACAACGAGGTCTTCCAGGGCCGACTGGACCCCCTGGATCTCCCGGAATCCAAGGTATGGTAAAGGATACGGTAGTTGATCCACTTTTTAGGATCTTGCAGCCATTGCCCGAACGATGGTCGTCAGGCTGCTCCTGCACCAGTAGCTCCAGCGGATAGTAAGTTGATTATAGACAGAGAAAGAGAGAGAGAGAGAGAGAGAGAGAGAGAGAGACGTAGAAAAAGCCTAATGTGTGATATTTAGCCCAAGATGCCTATTCCTCCCCCGCTCAGGCTCCCGTTGCGGCTCCTTATCAGACCCAGGAGCAAGGTACGGTGTTGAACAAGCTGCCTGTATAAGGATACTGTAGCTCGAACATGGCATTTCAGGCATAGTTCTAATTTTTAGGAAACTCATACGAGCAAAATACACCTACTAAGAGCGGCTACGAGCAGGAGGAGCAAGAGGAGGAAGAGGAGGAACAACAGTACGAGCCAAAGCCGACTGCCGGTCCGCCAGCCCCCAGACCGACTAATTATAGAGGGCCAGGTCAGCTTTTGCAACTTCAGAATGGTATAAGCCCGAAAGCTGTTATGATACGTTCGACGTATTATTGACTGGATATTGATCATCTGAAGCTTTTTGAAATATACCAAGGTTGAAAAGCCGCTTCGCGACTTTTCAACCCTGGCCCCCGTCTTACCCCCATACTTCGTCGCTTTGCATAAACCCCTGAATACCTGTGCAGGAAAATGAAAAGCTCGTCCTCTCCCCCATTATATAGTCTTCCCCCGCTTCCGGTGCATGCTAATTGATTCCTAACAAAGTGGCCGAGCGATATTTTCACAAAAACTGAATTTTAATATCGAAAACAGCTGATTTTTAAAAATCTCAGATGCGTGCAGTCGTGTCATGACCATTACGCACCTAATGACGTATCATACGTACCCTTAGCTTCCTCTCCTATTGTGATACGACTGGAACATAGGGACGGAAGTTGCATCCAAATGCACACACACACAGACACTATTTTTTTATATATAGTTATTCCAGCTGGTGGGGCCAGCGCCGCCTCTTTGAGCTACGACAACTCGGTCCCGTCCGTCCAACCGCCACAGGGATCTGAGTATGCCCGAGCACGAGCTCACGGTCAGCAGACGTTGTATTACAGAGATCCATGTGAGTTCTTGAATTTTATTTGCTTGCCTATGACCTGAATCCCCAATAGTTGTCAGGAGTCGCTGAAGCCTAAAACCGGCAGTTCCCGTTAATTTTTAACATTTTCTCATTAACAAAATTATACCTAGCTAGCTAGATCACTTGTCAAAATTATAGTACTCTCCCCGGTCCTTAAGAGCTCATCCTCAAAATTTTAGCTCGCTCCCGAGCGCACGCGATCCCGAGCCGAATCCCCGCCAACTTTGCCAACGAGCCGCCGGCCTATTTGGAACCGATGAGCCGTGCTCATGGCACACCGAACTACGGTAAGTTATGCGTAAAGTAAGCTACGCCGAAGCTATCTAACCTGACCCAAAACTCGAAATTACCTCACACTTTAAGGTATCCAACCCCAAGCCTCGTACCAGCGCACCGCCTCCGACTACGGTTTTGGAGCTGTGGGTTATCAGAATACGAGCCCTTACCAGGTTAGTGGGGTGGTCCAGCAAGCTTGGAAGGCAAGCTAACATAAAGTATTGCGGAGCCAGCGACTTAATTTTTTTAGTCCAACCCGAACCAATGGCCACCACAGCGCAACCAAAACGGTACTTTCCTATGAAATTTTTCTAAAAATCGATACCTTTCCAGGCGGCTACCAGGGCCAGCAGTTCGGCGGAAAGTAATTTCGAGGCATAAAGCCAGTGGACTCCCGGATTTTAATAAAGCCGTTTTGAAGTGTGGATGCGTGGTTCTGGACAAAAACTAGAGAGAGCGGGAGAGAGAGAGAGAGCGAGAGAGAGAGAGGGAGATAGAGAAGGAAAGCGAAACACATTCAGACAGACAAACCAATATTCACGCCTACATTGTCATTGATACACGTATTTTATCTAACACCACCTCATTTTTTGAACATTCCGGATGGGCTCTTCTGTAATCGTCACCGGAGAACCGTCAAAACCGGTATTTTCATTTTTAGTCCGGTATTTTAAAAATTTATTTACCTCCGGTTGAGCGATTTTGAAACCGAGTCGTTCTGGATTTCTAGTGTGTAAAAATAGGGTCAACTATAGTTGAGAGTATTAGGAAAGACAATGCGCTAATTCGGTAGTCTATTTCTGACAAGGAGTGTTTTTTAGTCATCGGCAAAACCTTACGAGACCTAGCTCATTCGATAGAGAATTCGATTCTGAACAAAACCCTGCTTTTCTTTTTTGCAGAATGGCTACCCCTGATTTTATAAAATTAAAATACTAGTGGCCGTCTCTTACCATGAGCGCCTTTCGAGCCAAAAGATAGGCTTTTGGGTGCAGTTTTAAAATTTTATAAAATCAGGGATAGCCATTCTGCAAAAAAAGAACAACGGGGGTTTTGTTCAGAATCGAATTATCTATCGAATGAGCTAGGTCTAGTAAGGTTTTGCAGATGACTCAAAAAAAGCACTCCTTGTAAGCTTATTATCGTCGCTAAAGCCTAGATACACGCCCGTTATTTCAGAAAATCTCTAAAATAATGGTGGCTCTCCTCGCGATCTCCATTGCCGTCGCACTCCTATGGCCATCGACGGAGCAACAGCTGGCGGCATCGGTAATTTTTCCGTTCTTTCTTTTGTCTTTACTATCATACTCTACGCCCTTTAAAAGTCATAGAACACCACTGGTTATCCTCATTTTTATTTTTATTTTCATTTTCCAGGAAGCCCAGGAAAAGGAAAAGTTCAAAATGAAGCTGATGAACCAGCTGAAGGGAGCGATGGGCAACTCGAAAAAGGTATGTTGCAAGGGAGGAAGTTGCTATAATATTTCGACATTTTTAAGGATAGATTAAACCCAGAAAGTGCTAAAAAAGTAGAAAACTTTATTCCAGTGCGAACAAATCGAGGATAAAGAAGAGCGGGCAGCTTGTTTCGAGAAACTGATGGACGATATGAAGAAAAAGATGGAAATATTGCGTTCCAGAAAGGAGGCAGCTGGGCAGAGTGATAAGGTAATTTTTATTGTATTAAATAGATATAACTTATGTTTAACTTTTTTTAAATTTGATTTATAAAGCTAGCTTATCTAAGGGTGTTGTGCAAGCCTGGGTTCGGTCGATAACTCTGGCCGGAAGACGAATTTACCGCGATTTTTGGTGGAGATATAAAAATGATATTAGTATTATTTATAAGTATTTAGTTTTAAATATTAAAACTGGTTTTTATCGTTTTAAAGCGGGCCTTTTTTTTTTTTTAAAAAAATTTTTTTCTTCGGCCGGGGGCGGGCCCCCCCCCCCCCCCCCCCCCGGGGGGGGCGGCTGGCCCCCCCCCCCCCCCCCGGGGGGGGGGGGGGGCCCCCCCCCCCCCCGGGGAGGGGGGGGCCTCCCCCCCCCCGGGGGGGGGGCGCGCGCCCCCCCCCCCCTTCCTGTGTGCTGGGGGGGGGGGCCCCCCCCCCCCCCCGGAACGTGCGCTTTAAAGCTATTTTTCTGATATGGCAGAGCCTGGATCAGGTGAAAGCGGCCTGCCGATAGCGTGTAGCAGCGTTTTCCCGCCGTTTATTGATTTTTTCAGATGCCAATGTTTCTGTGCACTCTTTTTATTTTTAAACATCGTTTAAATTTAATTACCCCTTTCTTCAGACCCTCCAAGACGCCTTCCAAAAAGCCGACGAACTCAGCAAGCACATCGACCCATCGAAGATAAATTTCGGCAAATCCAAAAGTGAATTGTAGCCTGGAGTTTTTATAGTTCGCTATTTTATCGCCATTGCTTTGTTTCATTGTTTATTTTATATACGAATCAGCGCTATAAATACGTGAAAATACAACGTTTATCGAACCAAGCAAGTCAAACAAAAGATCGGATAAAAATAATGAAAAAACACTCGTCGTCACCATTTCGTGTATGCAATCCCTACCCATTTCGCGAAAACACATAAAAATACATGATGATAATGATCAGGAGATCTGTACAACATTATAATTATAGGAAGCAAGAAGTCATAGAAAATAGCGCATTCAAGTTTAAAAGGTATCGGAAGGCATAGCTTAACGAGCTTTTGGATGCTGTAAAAGGTTTTTGAATCAATTAATGTTTTTCGATCCAAATTCCATTCACAGTCACGCGTCATTATTCGTCTGCTGCGTTTCAGCTTTCGTTGGAACCGGCGCGAAGCCGGATGAGCGTTTCCGGAACAGGAAGCGGGCTAGCTGAAAAGAATTCGATCGTCTTCGATCATTAAAGTATACTCTTTTATCAAAATGATGTAAAAGTTATAGATTAAATGTTTAAAACGAACCCCTTTCTTCTGAGTGCCGTAGCTGCCGGCCTTTGTCAGCACGGCCCCACTGTCTTGCTCCGTAGATTGCGGACAACACGCTCCAAACGTCAACAGGAATTCCCTGGAATTGATAAGTTTTTCGTCTATTAAAAGTTATGGACACTTAGGAGTGAAATTAAGGCTTCACTAAGATATCTGGTACCTCCTGAAAACGTGGCTCATCAGCGCATAGAGGACAAAGTTGACAGAAGAGTTGATCAGCGACAAAAGATCGAAAGTGTCGGTCAGGATCATCGATAGGCCTTGGAGGCGTCGGTTGAACCCTAAGAAATGTTGTTAATTACTTATAAAAAGTATCTGGAGGTATTTAACGTTAAAAACATCAGTCGCAGCAAATTAAGTTTTTGCCCATTTTCTCAAAAATTTTATAGATTTATGCAAAATCTACTATTACGTCGTGTAGCGCAGAAAAAGCCGCAGAGGTTTTGTTATATGTTTTATTCCCCAGAAGCATCTTAAAATCCAAATTTTAAGCAAAACTCACCAACTGCTAGCCCAAGAATTCCCTGCGGTGCCTCCGTTATCAAAAACACGGCCACGATCCCCGTCAACATCGTTGTGGTTCGTTCAGCCTGAAGGGATACTTATAATTTTTTATAAAATTAAGTTTATAAAATACAGATATTTTAGGTTTAGCATTTTTTGCAGCCACGTCGACTGTTCTTAGGCCCGTAACGAACTCATTTTTCCTATTTCCGCTTTCCCCTGACCTTCGAAACCTTCTTAGACCTGCAGGATGTTTGGTTATGCCAAGACATCTCGACAAGATCCCAAGAAAACCACAAAAAACCCGGCCTCCCCATTCGTCCATTGTGGCGGATCGGTGTTGCATAAGGGAACGAGTACCCCCTAGTCTTTTCAACCTGACCCCACGGAATCTGCTCATTTCCATGTTCCATACATCCCCAGCCCATCCCTCCCGTGTTACTCATTCCGACCTCATCCTCTACCCTCCAGCAGCTAGCCCACCCATTTTTGAGTGGGTGGAGGGGGAGGAGGGAGGTTTCAAGTTGTAGCAGAAACTCAAACTTTAGCCGGAGGAAGGTGGGGGAAAGGAGCACGTGACGAAGCTTCGTAAGTTTTGAAATACGCAAAATAGATTTAACAGCAGCCTAATGATTTGGAAGAAATTTTAGCTTTTACCTGGGTTTACCAACTCGAACGTTAATTTTAGCTCTCGAAAAAGGGTCAGGACGCTATAACTTTGTAGCCAACAGCTTTAAGAGACTTTTTACTACACGAATCGATAGATCTCAATGAGTAGATGCTCTTAGACTTTTCAAACACCAAAATTGAGCATGTATTTCAAAAGTTATAACCTCTAAACGTTCGCACCTGAGAATTCCCAGCCGTCGCCCCGTTGCACAGCCTCGATCGTCGTTCTCTCGCTTCCATCAGCATCCTGGAAATATAGAGCTTTAATAAAGTATGTAGCAAGTTCACGTCATCAATCACTAAGGCCACTTACCTCACTAGTAACGACATAAAAATCGTCAATAATATACAAGGCACAAGTTTCAACACCAGTGACACCATCCAGTAGTTCAAGCGCATTAAGTCGCAGTTCCACCAAGTTGGAGAACCAAGGGTATATCTAAAGTTCGACTTGATACCATAATACTAAAGCTAGTCGGCTTTTTGAGGGCATAAAAACCTACAACTCAAAGGTCTCCATGGTCTCTATCCGTTGCCAATGCTCAAGATGACTGCCCTGCTTGCAGGTTTCGATAAACGAGGGAACGAACATGTCTGCGCGGGCGATGGTTGTTGGACCGAAGACCTGGGGGTAAATTAAGGTATCGAAAATTACAGTATGGATACCTGGTAATTGAGGATGTTTGGCAACGATCCGACCACGGCAATGATGACGGCGAAGAGGATGGAGAGGAAGGCCGAGGAGTAGTTATTGCAATTCGGGATTGAGGACTGTGGATATTGGCCACGGTAGAGCACCATGTACCTGAAAGGGTTTTGATTGTTAATGACGTTAATCGTATTAAATTGCGCACGCATTGGATACTAACGTGGAAAGCAGTGCCGCGTTGTGAGACGCGACTACGCGACCGTTCTATGCATATCGAGTTTTTGTGCGTTGCGCGTAATGTAGGCGCATCAGGTAGAAATTTACAAAAGAGCGCGGGTTGTTGGATGAAGTCAACTACGCTGTAGTCCTTTGTCGTCCGCGTTTTGTGCGGTTTTGTGCGTTTCGAGTGCGTCTAATTTCTATCTAGCGTGTACTAGATACTGTCGTACAAAGGAGCGCTGCGTTGTTAGAGCCGACTACGCGCCAGTTCTATGCCCAACGAGTTTTTGTGCGTTTTGTCTTTTGCGGTTTATCTGTAGATTTTTTAGCTACCTGAGCACGGCCATATTGACGGTTAGCCACAGACTCAGGGAGTGCACAAACACCGACACCATCGCGTAGTACTTGGTGTAGAGGAGGAACGGGTAAGAGAAGTACCACGGGTGGCATTGGTCGACCTGGAAGGAGGAATATAAGTATTATATAAGCAGATTTTAAGGTGGATGTTCAGATTTTTTTGGGAATTAAATGTCGTAATAAAATAGGACCTTAGAACTTTTGTTATCAATGTAAATATAGAGATTTTGACGCCTACGGTTAAATTTACCTGGCGTCATTACAACTTTGAAGTATCTTTTCCCTTTTTTTGACCGGTTGATATATCTTCCCGACAGCAACTATTACCTCAAGAACTGTTTTTCACCCCTCTGCTCCACTTTAAAAACTCTCACCCAAAACGGGAAAGCTCTAGCGCCTAGAACATCAAAAATTCACACTAGACTCTCTTTCTCCCCCCCTCGTGATTTCCAAACCCTAGCCCTCGTCGTTCATCTACATCATCGTGATTCTCTGGACTTTTTTTGCGTAAATCCCCCTCGGCCGCTCCGGCCTCGCGAAGGGATGCAAAATGCGAGGGACGCGCAGAATAAATCGCCTGCTCGGCGACACACGCCAACCCATGCGTTTTGCCCAGGGATTCCCACGTTCAAAATTTCTCTCTCTCTCTCTCGCTCTCTCTCTCTCTCTCGTCTCCACTTTTTGTCGCTACAACATTGGCCATCCGGCTGGGAATCACACGTTTTTGGCGGGTTTCTGCCGGACGAAAAATTGGGTGGGGGCGAATTTTGATTTGTGTGAAATATTGGGGCCAGACGGAAACCCATCGAATCTGCAGGGGCGGTTAATTTTGAAATCTTTAATTTCCGGTGACAAATTGACACTAGGATTTCGGTCGTTCGCCTGAAAAAGGAGACACTACGAGAAAAGGGCAGGCTAGCAGAGACAATTTGGGAAAACCCGGAAAGGACGATTCTTTCAAAGCTTAGGCTTCGATGAGGCTTAGGTTTAGGCTTAGGCTTAGGTCAGGCTTAGACTTGGGCTTCGGCAGGCTTAGACTTGGGCTTAGGCTTGGGTTTGGCTGATGGCTTGAGCTTAGGCTTGGGCTTAGGCTTTGGCCTTGGCTTTGGATTAGGCTACTGTTTCTCTCCCCATAAAAACGGAAGTGACGAATTCATCCCCGATCACCCTCTAGGTTTTTCTCGGCACTTCAGACGATGTACCCAGGAAACGGAAGTGCTCCCCAAACTGATGATAAATTCGCATCTATACCTACTGTAGCTGCTTTTAGTGTTTTGATCCTTCTAGAATATACCGGAAGACGTCGTAAAATACACCAAAAATACAAAACATTACAACTCACATGTTTATAGACCAGATACGTAGCCATTAGTGTCGCGTCGCAGACCGCGATTGCTACCAAGAAGACGTTAAACGGGTTTCTTCGCATGGCTGGCCGAACGAGGACGATAACTGAAATTTAAGGGAAGCGATAGGCTATAGCTTGAAGCCTTGAGGTATAGTTTAAAGTTTTGCAATCCCCCAGTTTTTCCAGCCAAAGTTTGCTTTTCTGAAGTTCCAATATCTCTGGCATTTCGACCCCTCTTAATCCCCCGCGTGAAATTGGATCTGTTTGGATAGAGCGAGGATAGGGTGTGGATTGAGAGCACTTATCACCCCGGGTGGAAAGAAGAAGCCCCTTGGCTTCGGTGCAAAATACGAAGCCGAGGTGTTGTGATGATTGGTCGTTGGAGTGAGGTCGTGATCGTAGTGGCAGGCAGTAGTACGTAGTGCTACTATTTTGGAGCACAGAAAACCTAGAGGGTGCAGAACTACGCGAAGCTGTGGAATGCTATATGATAGTGGGCGATACTACGCGATACTACGTAGTGCTAAGCGATAGTACGCTCCAATCCGCTAGGGCCACTGTAGTATACGTTCCATAAATACGCTACTTATCACGTATGCGTACTCGCTTTTCGCTACCCTTTTAGACATCGTTATACGCCTTGAAACCTCTTTTTGCGTACAGTCCTACCGTAACTCACCAATAGCAACATTGGCGAAGACACCGATGAGACACAATGGCACGTAGAGGTAGTGGTGGATGAAGGTGAAGAGTTGGATCAGCACGTTTAGCTCCTGAAACGGATAATTTAGACTTATATCTCTCTCTCTCTCTCTCTCGCTCTCTCTTCTACAATCCTTGACGGCAATGTTGCTTCTTAAGCATTCTGCATTTTTCGTTCCTCTCACACCCCAAAGAAAACCCAGGGAAGTCTTGCTAATGAGGTGAGGGGGTTCTCGGATGGGCTTCGTCTTGTCTACGCCCCCCACTTCGCGTAGTGGCGCCCGAGGAAATCCGTTTTCCGGTGGGCCGGTCAAAATGTAGCGGGCAAGGAAATCGGAACTTCCAGAGCAAGTCAAGTGGTGGAGAGGGATTATAACGTGGAATAAGTACGCTTTGAGCTGGACTACCGGAAACGGTAAAGTACATTCGATTACGCCAGGTAATTGAGCCAAAAATGGCATGTATCCTTCGCACAAACATATAAAAATTATGCGGATCGATAAACTGGAAAGCTGAATCTCTAAAAATTTAATTTTTTCTATGATAATTTCGGGCCGTTTTCGGGTCGATTTTTATTTAATTTCCAATTTTTAATCCCTAATTCCCGAGACCAGAGCCCATTGAAAAATACCCAACGCTCCCACCGTACAGACGCCACCAAAAAGTTGTTTGCTTTGGATGTTTTACGGCTTCCGGGATTAGTGCAAAAAGCCGAGCACCATGAGACTAATGCCCCGAATCCCCCGGCCAAATCCCAGTGATTCAACGCGTGCGCCGGAAACGAGGTTTTTCGAAATTTTTTGGACCGGATGGACCAATTTCGAGAAACGAATTTTGAAATGGCGTTTGAAGCGAATTTCGGGATTACCCCCGGCTACGCGGGAATCCTATCGACTTTCGGCGAGGGTTCCGGCTCCATTTTGTGATTTGGAAGATTGGTAGGGGATTTTTGAAAATCACGAAATTGAACGCGGGTTCTGGACGAAAACGCGGTGCAGCTATACCGTAATGTAATCGCAACCTGGTACACTCTTTAGAGTTTCTGGATTCGGAGCGTTTTAGAGAAATGAGTACATTTGGAAACACAGGCTGAGAGGGAGAGAAAGAGAGAGAGAGAGAGAGAGAGAGAGAGCGAGAGAGCGAGAGCGAGAGAGATGTGAGAGAGGGCGAGTAAGAGTGAGTGAGCCTCAGCAAAAGCGAGCGAGAACGAGATAACCTTTAAAACCTATTCGATTTTCAAGGTATTTTTACGATTAAGCCATTACACCGAATTATGCCTAAACAGCCCCCTAAAAAAGCTATCAGAGCTCCCTGGCCCCCTAACTAAAGATCCAGCTCCTGATCCTCAAACTCTCAATCGCACCGCGAACCTGCTTCTTACACGGCTAGACATACAGCCACCCCTTAATTTTCAAGCACATCCGACAAATGCCCTCTCCACCTATTTCCTCTTACACATCCGAAGAGTCAGTGTGTGCCCCGTCAAGATCCCCTCCGGGCTTCTACCTATAAATTATTTGGCAAGCGGGGTAGGTCCCGCTGCCCGTCCTCTCGATTCTTTGAAGGAGGGGAGCCACACTAGGGGCTTCACCTCCTCCCACCCAGCGCCCGTAAATAGGCGGTTCCCGTAGTGCGGGCGGGCGGGGCGATTCGAGGAAGGGGATTTTGAAGGTTATTTGTTATTGGCTTTTCGGCTTTTCGGGGTATTCAAGGAGAAATCTGGCGGGCGGCTTGGATACAATTTTTGGGGGTGTGGGAGGAGGAACGCTTATGGTCAATATGGAAAAAGAGACGGAGGAAGCATCGGTCGGGCAAAGACAAATCGAATTTTAAAAAGAGTTAAGTTTGCAAAATCCTACGACAACACAATTTTAATGTTAAAGACTTCCGTCCGCTCTTCAAAAAATGTAGAAATTTCATAATGTCGAAATTTCCCTTTTTCAAAATTTCATAATGTCGAAACTTCTAAATTTCGGCATTTCATCGCCAAATGCCGACAAAATTGCTAAAAATGTGACTTATCCATAATGTCGGCATTTTTGGCAAACTATCGGAACAATCCCCGTAGATTTTTTGATGCAAAATATCGATATTCTAATCTGTCGGCATTTTGAAATTTCGACATTTTAATATGCCGACACGCTAAAATTTTGATACGGAAATTTGGACAATAGACAATTTCGAAAGACCAAAACTAGATCCTCAAGTCCCAGTAAGAAAGAAAAAGGGTCATGAAAGGCTTGACAAAATTCTGGCTCCAGGCCAATTCTTTACCTTCTCATTCCCTTTACAACCACATCAAAACTCTAGTATGCTCCCCCCTGCAAATACCCCCAGAAAAATTCACATATTTCCTCATTCGGCCGGAGCGGCCGGGCCGAGTTCGGTGAAGCGTTTGCTACATTATTTCCTCGAGCCGGCAAGAGCACACCCCCACTTCCCCTGCACGGCATTCCTCTTCCCCGCGGGGCCAGCGAGGCTAAAAAAGTGAACGGAGCCCCCGCAGATGCGCTAAAATACATACACGGCATGATTGCGCTTTCCAGGAAGCTTGGCCGAAAATGGCCTTTATTGTTTGTGGGAAATCAGCCGAGGGATATTGCGATGTGGAAGGCAAAAGTTGGCCTGGCCTCATAGTTCGTCATTTGGGAGGATAGAGATTGAGTGAGAGGGAGAGCGAGAGAGAGCGACAGAGAGAGCGAGTGAGAGCGAGAGAGAGCGAGAGAGAGGGGGAGAGAGAGCGACAGAGAGAGAGGGAGAGCGAGAGAGAGTGAGAGCGAGAGAGTGAGAGAGCGAGAGAGAGCGCGAGAGAGGGGGTGAGAGAGCGACAGAGAGAGTGAGAGCGAGAGAGCGAGAGCGAGTCAGAGCGAGGAGAACGAGAGAGAGAGAGGGAGAGAGAGAGAGAGAGAGCGAGCGAGAGAGAGCGAGAGAAAGATGGGGCGAGAGAGCGAGAGAGAGAAGAGAGAAGTGTGCGAATTTATTTCGTAGGCCTAGGCGTAGGCTTACGATTAGGCTAAAGCTTAGACTTATGCTTAGACTTAGGCTTAGGGGAAAGCTTTCCTCCAGGCCTTTTCTTGGCCTTAAGCTCAGGCTCAGTTTCTAAACTTTTTCCGGAACCTCTGGGCCAGCAAGGTGTAGAAATTAATTTTTTTTTGGTTTTCATCCCTTCAATATTACCCCGCCCTAAGCACGATCATTTTCCTGCTTTTCGATTCGAACCCACCATATTTTGGGCTCTTCGGTTCGCGAAATTCCGGTTCCTGATGGCGCCCCTCAGGGCCCAGCCATTAGCCATACAAATCCCGGGATATTCCATATTCTCGCGGGAAGGGGGATGGGTCGCTATTTTTCCACCAGCCAAAAGACACGCAAAATGTTGGCCGGCCCCCAAGAAGTAAGCTCCGAGAAGCTTTTGGTCCCCGGCAGGTGTCCCCCGGAAGTCCGGGAATCCCCCCCACCTTAAATTCGGTTTCCGTGTCCATACCTAGGGGGTAGGATACTCCCGGGAATTGGACTTTGGACTTAAACAGCTTGTAGCAGGCTTAGCAATAGGCTTGACTTGGGCTTGGCTTAGGCATGGCTTAGGCTTGGCTTAGGCTTGACTTAGGCTTGGTTTAGGCATGGCTTAGGCATGGCTTAAGCTTGACTTAGACGTGACTTAGGCTTAGGTATTGGACTGTTTGGGGGATAGGACGTGTTCACTGGCAAAAACGGGTCCCCTCCAATACCCCCCCCCCGCTAACGGTCCTGTACCCCCTAGGTACCAAATAACTCTAACGAACTACAGCTGTTGTCTGCTAAAATGTGCTCCCCCAGGTCGAACGGCAAAATGACCAGATTTTGAATGCTTCTCCCGGCGAGCTCATGAAAAGCCGAAGGTGGTCCGCGAAAATTGGGGGCCGTTTCGAACAGCTCGAACACATCGGCCAAAAAATACGCGCATTTTGAGCCCTTTCTCGTGGCTTTCTAAAGGCGCCCATTCACGCCGGTGGAGCGTTATTTTGGGGGTGACGCCAGAAAATGACCGGAACTCGCCGCGACGATCGATTGGAATTTGGGGCAAACTAGCGGTGATTCTTGGGGAATTTGGGCTAACTATTATGGATCTTTAGGGAATTTCAGGGAGCGCGAAAATGAGGTAGAATGATTTTTAGAATGAACCAACCAAGCGACAATATTGCGGGATTTTATTTCAGGGCCAACTTGTAGAGATTGTTTGCGGAAATTTGAATTTTTGGATACATTTTTGAGAAAAGGGAGCGAGAATGAGACAGAGAGAAAATAAGAGAGAGAGTTAGAGAGAGAGAGAGAGAGAGAGAGAAAGCTAGAGAGCCAGTTTTTTTACCCATTATTCAAACCTATCAACCCCCAAAATCTTGCCGATTCCTTGCCAAAGACAACTCCATAAATCTCACTTTTTCTGGGTCCTGCAATAGCGCTCAAAAAAAGAGGGCAGCACCGCCCCAATCTTGTTAGATATCACGGAAGTAATCCGTCAAAAAAAGACTTTCTCTCCGTCGAGGTGGGTCCCAGGAGGATCCCTACCACCCGGAATTCCGAATGACACCCAATCCCACTCGGCTTTTTTCATTTTTTCGAAAATAACAATGTCTAACTAAATTTTTCGACAATTGATTTTATTGAAATTCATTTTGTCGAAATTTTGAATTGTCGGCATTTTATTTTCAACCCGGGGAAGGTTAGAAATTCTGAATTTCGACAAGTTGAAAGTCGACAGGCGTTTTCGACAGGTTGAGATATAAATTTAATCAATTTTATTTCGACAGATATCATAATTTTCGACAAAATGGCGTGTCGAAAAGGAATTTCAACATTCTAATTTTCGACACAATGACATAAAAACCCCGATACTCACCCTCGTCCAGTGCTCCTTGCTGTTGATCACCTCACTCCGGTTCGCGCCCATACAAGTGTCCATCTTGGCCAACTGTCACTCACTTTCTCGCTCCCTCGCGGTCTCTTTATCTCTCTCGCTCCCTCACCAAATCTAAAAATCATGTTTCCTCAACAATCCGCAGGCAGGCTAGCAGCGATATTTTAGGAATTTGAC